ATTGATTATATAGAGATTATCGCCTGACTACTACTTCTATTTATATTTCTTTATATGTCAGGAAAAGCTGAGGAATTCCCCAAAAAGACGTTGGGTCAAGATGTTCCTGTCAACCTTCTGCCACTTGCACCTGTTTTAGGAAGCAACGGTCAAAATAGGTTTGGTTGTGAAAGTAACCCAGAGACATCCAAGCAACTACCCACAGATATTAATGAGAATAACTCAAACAGTGACAAGGGCAATAAGAGCACATCTGTTACACAGCACAAAGGGAAATTGAAGCCAGAATCTGATAATGAGAGTATCACCAAGTTGAAAGAAACAGAGGAGAAAGAGGATTTTGCTAAGGAAAATGTGATACAGCATATTGGCACGGATAACTATGTACAAATACCAGCAGAAGCAAAGACAGAACTCCAAAACATGTCTCTTCAAAATAATGTACAAGTCCATGTATTGAAGAAAGACTTAAAACAAGATACTGAACCACTGTCTGTAGATAATGTCAGTGAACTTGTGGGTACAAAGAGTTCTACAGTGCAATCCTCATGTTCACTTGGAAATAATTCTCCAGTCAATCTACAAGTTTGTACAAATATTAACCAGAATAACCCGATGACAGAGGACAATGCTAATAAAGTTCCTTTACAATTACATTCGCAAGATAATGGTCTACCAAAAACTGATATTTCTCAACTATCAAAAGAGCAAATCCATGCAGAGGAATGCACAACAGAGACCATATCATCTACAGAAAACAAAAGTGTCGTTCAATCTATCAGTAAGGATTTTGGCTCTTGTGATTCCCTGTCTTGGTCTCATGGAACTCATACCTTTCCACCCCAGGAATGTAACAGTCCTCTTACAACAGAAGTAAGCTCTGCCCCTACTGCCAAAGTGGAAATGCACTCCCTTTTGCCTCATGACTTAGAAAGTGGAAGGCGCCCTTCTAGCGCTTCTCAGTATGATAACATGTCAGATTTGGATCAGTGCGAATGGCCCCCATGCCCAACAGATGCGTCCTTGGATAAACTAGAAAATGAAGCATGGCAGGCTAACGTTTGCAATGTTTTAGATTTGTCCACAGAAAGAACCAAACATGCTGACAAGCTTCCACAACTCTCACCTTCCTTGTCTTGCCAGCAATGGCCATCAGGCAGTGTGCCCACATTAATGATTACAGACACGGATCTAAAAGAGCCTGTTAACGTTTGTACAAAATCTTCACCATCCATACCTGGCTGTTTCAGCCCCTGTCAAGTGATAAAGACAATTACCCATGTCCAAGTGTCTCACGGCATGACTCAAAACTTACAAAACAGCAAGCAAAAAGCACTTCCATTGCTTGATGGTTCTCAGCAAGGTGTCGTTTCGTTAAGCTTAATCATGAATACTGGTACTTCAGCCACTAATATGAGTGGTCCTACAAGCCAAGATAAAAAAAAACCTATAAGTTCCACACCGAAGGTACAAGCAAAATACCCAGCCATTCCCAAAGCAAACTCAGAGAACAATTTTAATACAGGCCATCAAATCATGCCACATATGTCTAAGTCGGTGACATTCTGAATAGTGACACAAAAAGCCTCATGTGCTGTTTGTCTTGTCCCATTGTGCAGTGCTGTGTGTAAGCCATTTTTATGCAGGACATAAAAATTAGACATGAGTTACTGACACAAATGTTGCCCTTAAAGAGGATTTTCAGCTGCACCAATTCAGCTGGCTCTTTTTTTAATTTTTTTATTTTGTGCATCATGAAATCTAATCTTCTACTTCTATTTTTTTTTCTACCTGTAAATTAATCACAAAGTGCTTTTTTTTTCTCTATGGTCATGCTTTGGTTGTCAGGAAAAAAATACAGTTAATAATAATCCAGTAGTGCAAAAAAAAGAGCACTTTTTAAATATATTATCACTCTAGGATTTCATGCCAGAATTTCAAGAAAATAGCTTTTGTATTATTTTCTCCTCTTCTTCGGTATAATGAAGTACATATTGTAGCTGTTTTTTTTTTTGTTTTTTTTCTAACCTATGTATTTATTGCCTATGGTTCTTCCTTATGTTAATTCTTTAAGCCATTCCTAGGCAGACTCCACATATGTTCCGTGTTTTGCCAGCTTAATATTGCAAAATAGGAATACATTGAAACCTGTTTAGCTTCCGGACAGAACTTGTGTCAAAGATAACATCATGTTGACAACCACCTGCAACATAGAGATCCCTGTCTGACCTAGTAAGTGTTATATAGAATTATATAGCACACTGCACATTGCTTTATTAATGCAAAACGTATTATTCGGCAAACTAGCCTTGATGCGTGTTTTTACATACATTTACATTGCATGCATCCTTTCCCCTTTATTTATTGCATACTGAGGGAAAAATAATCCTCCTTTTTTTTTCCTAGGTCAAAAAATCATGATAGAGTTGGCAGTATTTACAGTGGTAATTATTTTAATTACATTGATCTATTTTTTTATTTTTTTTCCGTAACCATTCTCACCCTTGGTTGAGTCTATGCAATAATCCAGCAATATTCATTAACAAAAAAAAATCATTGTTAAACATATTGCTTATATCTTAGATTACATTAGAATAGGAAATTTAGAAATGTTGAAATCAAGCCAAATGGCCAAAAGTACCAGCTAAGTGTAAATTTTTTTTTCTGCAATAATTTTCAAGTTATTTATTTCAACATATATATATTTTTACACAGGTGCAGACCAAAGGTTTTTTAACATTATTTTCCTATTTATTTAAATATCTCTCTTATTAGCAACGTAATTGATATTTTAATTTGCAGTGCATAAGTGTGAAAGTTACGCTATTTTGCTTGGTGATTGAAATTTTTTATTAAAGTTTAAATGTGTGACATTTTATATGGTTTGTGATTTTAATATATTCAATTTAAGCCACATTTCATTCTCTTCAGTTTTTTTGTTTTGTCCTGTTTTTTTTTTTTTTAAACATATCACTTTCACGGTTATATTTCACCACAGACTGTTACATATTAGTATAACATATAGCTGTTCTGGTTATATGTCGATTCATTTTTATTTGTAGGTAGCAGATAGCCTAATAGCATACAGTGCATCATCGAAGAAACTTTTTAATAACAGAAAAGAGCAAATGTCCCTCTTGACTACCCATTTCTTAACTAGAAGCACAGGTATTCTCTTCAATTCATTATTACTTGGGGCAGCAATGTATTTAGTCTCCACCACCACTGATGAAAATCCCTTCCAAGTTTCTACTATTCTTTCCATGAACTATTCCTAGCATGCTCTAACCCTCAAAGAGACACTCCGGGTACCAATAAATGTTTTGCAGAATGCTGTTCTTTAATCCCACCTTTTTTAACCACACCCCTTCAATCCAGAAAAAGACTTCCTTATCAAAAAGATATGCTCACAGCTCAGCCACTGACAGTACTGAATGATCTGAACAACAAAATAGCCTGCAATAGAAGGAGAGGACACCTGTTTGTAGTTTATTGGTCTGCAGCCAGTTTGTGAATTAAAAGCAGCTCACTCAGTGCTGTTAGGGTTGAGACTGTGTGCCTACCTTTGATAAGGAAGTCTTTCTGGTATGATTAAAAAGGCAGGCTTATGGTGCAGCACTCTTCAAAACATTTATTGGTGCCAAGACTGTCCCTCTAAATTTCCTTCCTGTGACTTCAGGTTCCATCTTTCTAGCTGTCCTGTTTCTACAAATTTGGGCACAACTTTGTACTTTGTTATATTCCTTAAAATATTTGTAACTTTCTTCCAGATAACTACAATCACTTTGTACAATCTTGATTGAGCTATATCATTTTGCAAACCGTCCATTCTTTTGGAAAACCATTTTTATTGAACATTTGTTTTCCGAAAATATGTTCTTCATAGCTGGACAAAATGAAGATTATGTATAAAAGTGGCAAAATTATGACACCAGAATTGTCTTTATTTATGTACAACATAAGTGCTTGAAAATTAAATTGGTATCCGCTACTCCAAAATTGAAATGTGTTGTAGTATTGTTTAATTATTGGTATTTTTTTTAAGTAAATATAAAAAAAAATTGCACTTTGGTTATTTATTTGAGTTTTTTGCTTATTTATTCTCCTTTATTCCCTATTTGGTGGTCTATGCACTGCAAAAAGTCACCATATAATTAATATGTGTATGTGTGTATATATATATATATATATATATATATATATATATATATATATATATATATATATATGTGTGTGTGGGTATAAATATACACACAGACATATAGACATATTTGCATATGACATTCAAGTGCAGAGGCAAACTTTGGAGCAAATGAATTATGCATAATGTTACATATGTTAAAATTATTTACACTTGGTGAAGTCTTACAAATGATCTATGAATTGGCATCACTATTAGACTTGTGAATTTGGTTTCTCCCAAAGAATTTTCGGGCTATTGGCGACTCTTTCAAAATTTCTAACTTCAAAACAGATCTTGGGCGAACAGTTTTGTTTGTTTCCTGAGCCAAAGTTTTGTCCATGTTCCTCCTCTTTATAAATGTAAATATTATGCATACATTTTGCAGTACACTGATAAAAGCATTTGTATGCCTTTTGGTTGACAGATCAAGTGAGAAGAAGTAACCAATAGAGGGAAAAATGGAGGAGCAGAAGAAAAAAATGTATTAAATCCTTTTTTTCCCTGTTTTGATTACTTTTTACTTGATTTGTCAACCAAAAGACATAAAAATGCTTTTTATCAGTGTACTGCAAAATGTATGCATAATATTTATATTTTGCAGTATACGGATTGGCCCATTTTCAGGCCATTGTGGTATGAGTTGTTGGACCATCCAAATTACAATATATATATATATATATATATATATATATATATATATATGTGTGTGTGTGTATTTTTTAATTGTATTTTATTGGAGCTTACAAACTCGGAATACAACTTTGTCATGGTATGAGAATAGCAATAATAACAATTACACAGTAACATCACTTAATAAACCTACTTGTACAGGTTATCATAGGGTCTCTTATATGTAGCAAACTATTACTAGGGGTTATCATGGGTCTATGATAGTGGAGACATTATAAATCGTTTGGACGGTCTATAGGAGCCCATAAGCTTTGCCCAAAGTAAAATACAGGGGCTTTGTGGGACTGTGGTGGTCGGCATTTAGGGCAAGTGTTTTAAGTCAGTCCCCTTTTTCGCTGTGTCTTGCAGCTGCTGGAGGCTATGATATTCCTTCAAGGTGAGTGCAGTGTCTACTTGCTCAAGTGCAGGGTTGCCTCTTCGTTACGGCCGGCACATATTATCTTTTTTTTTTTTTTTATTACTCTTTGGTTGTCACTGCGTCTGGTCATCTTTCTCTCTGGCTTCTCCCTTGTCCGCGTCGTGCAAGTTCAGCTGTCAGAGGATTTTCTTTTGGTCGTCTCAGGAGGTCAGTGTGAGTGTCCGGTCTCCTCGTTGTACCGCTAGGGTTCTGACTGCAACATCTCTTAGCCTTCTGGCTGTTGGTGCCAGTTGTGTTATTTATTTCTACAAGGACTGCAAACGGGAGGTCCCCATAGAAGGCCACTGTGCTACCCTCGAACTGCCCATTGTCTAAGGTTCTAGATCTGGTTGCCATGTTTTTCGTGACTACTATGGTGTCTCTGGGTTTGTCTACTGGTGCTGTGGCAGCTTTGTTGATCCTGTATGTGGACATTATCATGCCGAGCTTGTTTCTCCCTCTTATGCACATTACCGTTAGTAGGCGGTATTTGTAGGTCATTAGGGCTTCTTTGTCAGTGGTCTCTGGTATGTCTCTGATGCAGATAATCCGCCTCCTAGGTCGTGCCTCCGAATGAAGTGTCCGTCCACGTGAGGTTCTGGACCTGTGAGGTCAGGTCCTGCATAACGTCCCTGGAGTGCTGCAGCTGGTTGTCTCTTGCACTCTCTCTGGCTTCCACTTCTGTAAGCCTCTTCTGGATATCTCCAACTTTTTGCCCTGTGTTCCGCAGGTCTGCACTCCACACCTCCCTCATTTCTTCTAGGACAGCGCTTCCCAAACACACAGGGGAGCCACAAGTTATTTTCTCCGCCCCGCTAGCACTTTGCTGACAGCCGGCAGGGGAGGGACAGAGAGAGGACCCGGGGGAGCTCTAACCTGCAGCTCCGCCAGGTTCTCCTCTCACGAGATCGGAACATTACCACAGCAACTCTCCGAATCTTGTGAGAGTGAACTCTAGCAGCTCCTGAGTTCACTCTCACCACTGGGACCACCATGGCTTCTGCACCGGACCACCAGGGATTACAGGAAATGTCCCCCTTCCCTGCTAACCTTTGCCTGGGATATCATTTGTAATTAAAAAAAAAAAAATAAAGTATATATTTACTCTTTTGCCCTCCTACCCCCAAAGTTTCCACACCACACAATAGCTGCCCCATACACACACACTCCCCCCCATACACACACACAAACACACACACACTGCCCCCCCATACACACAATTACCCTTCCATACACTACAATTACCCCCATACACAAAAATACCCCGACACACACACACTGTACCCCTCACACAACCTGCCCCCCCCACACACACACACACACTGTACCCCTCATGCACAAAGTGCCCTACACACAATGCACCCCTGTACACACACACATTACAGCCCCTATCCCGGCAGACCCCAGGTAAGTTGACAAACTGTTCTTAAACAGTTTGACTGCTTACCCTGGGGGGACACTACGGCACTACTGGCACCATAACCACTACAATGTAATGTAGTGGTTATTCTTCCTGAAATGTTTCTATAAAAAAATCAGTGCCATTCCCAAGATTAGGGGCCGCAGTGCTGTACATATATACAACCTAGAACTATTAAAAGAGTATGGAAACCACTGTGCTATGAGGTCTCTTATGTCCCTCTTCGTCACTGGGGATGAGTCTTTTTCTGAGTCGGAAGCTTGGTATTGGGACCCCATCTCCTGCCAGAGGCGAGGTAAGGCTTTCTCTGTCCTCATGGGAGTCTTCCGAGGCCGCCTCCTCGCTGAGTTCCTCAGGTGCCATCTTGGCAGGTGTTGGGGGAGTATGCCTCACAAACAAGAGCCTAATATCATGTGTTGTAGGTGGCTCTGGAAGGTGGAATTTCTTATTCTTGCGCCCCGTTACAGTCTCTGTGTGGGGGACTCGTGTACTGCTGTTTGAGGGAGCCGTCTGAGGGTTTTTATTCGATTTTGTCAGTCTCTGGTACAGAGCTCCACAGAAACGCGTCCGTCTTGTTAGGCAGTTGGCCACGCCCCACCCCCCAATAAGAATTTAAAAAAAAAAAAACATTATTATGGCAATCATTTTTCACAGTGCACAAGTCTAATCACTAGCTTTGTTTTCACATACTAATTGCTCTTATGTGCAGTCAAACATTAGAAATTCCCTCGAGATCAGAAAAGAACACCTTTAAAATGCCATTATAAATATATTCACTCTCTGAACCCTTGCCCCCCTCCCAATTTATAATCTGTGTTTATATTGGTAGTAACTCATTATAGACAAGCTTCCATCATCCCTGAAAAACCATAAAAGCAAATACTAAATTTCTCATTCTACATCTTCAAGCAATCTCTACATAGTTTCTACAATCCTAATATTTAATGAAATTTAATTTAAGTATTTCCACCCTCATTCAGTGCATCTCTGAGATCCTCAGAATTGACAATCTTGTGATTGGCTGATATCATCACATCTGATGATGTCCACCAAGGAGGCAGATCATAGGCAGAGCCAGCCCATCAGACTGGAATAAAAGTAAGATTTTACTATATTTAGGGGGCAAGAGATGCCTGGGGGGCTAGATAGCTTTTTAACACTAAAGGGTCAGGAATACATGGTTGTGTTCCTGACCCTATAGTGTTCCTTTAGGTGTTATGAATATAATTTTATCTTTCAGATGACAGGTACACTTAAATAATTCCAAGAATTCACATGTCAATGCAAATAGTTATTTAACCAGGAAATACACTTTTTCATTTTCAGTAGTCCTTCTGTAAAGATGTTAACTTGTACAATAAAGAAACGGAAAACATACAATTTAAAATGCATCATAATATGTTTTAAAGCTGGTCTTTGGTAAAGGGACACCATAGTCATGAAAACTACTTTAGCTTAATGAAGCAGTTTTGGTATATGGATCATGCCCCTGCAGTCTCACTGCTTGATTCTCTGCCATTTCAGAATTAAATCACTTTGTTTATGCAGCCCTAGTCACACCTCACTCCATGTGACTTACAGAGCCTTCCTAAACATATCTACATAATCTCTACATAATGCTGCTCCCACCTATCTATCCTCCCTAATACACAAGTATGTCCCATCTAGGCTCTTACGATCTGCTGAAGACTTCACGTCTATCTTTTGTCCGTACTCCCACCTGTGATGCTCACCTTCAAGAGTTCTCGAGGGCTGCGCCGTTCCTGTGGAACTCGCTTCCCTCCTCTGTTAGATTCTCACCCAGTCTCCACTCCTTCAAAAAATCATTAAAAACCCACTACTTCATAAAAGCGTATCAATTAAACTGTTTACACTTTTCCGACTGATTCCTCTTCTGCAACTGTCACTAGTCTAATACTATCTGTAACGGACCGTTTTGCTCACAAGGGGTAAAAACCGTTTATGCAATCGTCCCCCTTTCCAGTGATGCAGGCACAGCTACTGCAGAACACCAAACTCGCGAACAGGATACCAAGTAGCACTCCAAATTCCCGAACTGGAACCTCACGAATAGCTGCTAGCAGCTGAACAGGAAAAGCACCCAAGCAGCTTACACTCCTGGCAATCAGTCTCTAACAGCATACAGTAAATCCCCCCAAGAACGAGACAAAGCTCTGTGTTGAGGGTCAAGCAGTGAACAGCCAGAGCTGTGGGTTTATTGTGCTTATGTACACATTCTTACACATTAGTACCACCCACAGGGTTTTGGAACACAACCAATAAACACATACAATACACTCAGACACTCCCACACAAATTCCTCCCCTCTGCATGTGATTCAATTACCTTACACAATGGGTAATGTAATTTAGCACAAGCAGAGAAATACAAATTTTCCACATTATTCATAACTTGAAAAGTATGCATCACATTCACATAAAACTTACATTTTCAGAATCAGCATACTCCAAATACAAACATACGTCAAACTCATACAAATTGGTCCAGTGGTTCAAAAGATAGATCGTAGTCCTTTGTGACCACAGGAAGCATGGCTTTTCTGCCCAAAACCAGTTCCACAGAGTCTTCTATCCTGGAGATAATTAGAAGTAATCCAATTATCTCCAAGGACAGAGGCAAAACTCCATTGAACACATGGCAGCAAAAGACAGTAAAACACATAAAAACATATAACTGTGCAGCCATTGCACAAAACAGGTACATTCAACATATCCCCAGATAGCTCAGATCTGAGCGCACATTATTACTGAATGGAGCTCAGAGCACACACATACAGTTCAATTGCCATGGAGCCAAAGTCTTTCCCATAGTCTTTCATTATACGAATGGGCTCCATGACATAGCTATCTGGGGTATCACTGCTCAAACAGGGCAAGCACCAAATGACCTGGCTTTCTTGTCTTTGCAGGGGAAAATCAAGCCTTTTAACATGGGGCCATAATCCAATGGCAACAGGCGAGCAACCAGGCGAGCAACCAGGCTTCTCCAATGCAATGTGGCGAGATTGCTCTCGTCACACTATCCTTACCTTTTGTGTTACTTTACCCCACTCCCTCTAGCATGTAAGCGCATTGAGCAGGGCCCTCAACCCCTCCATTCTTGTGTGTCCAACTTGTCTGGTTACATCTACATGTCCGTTCGTCCACCCATTGTAAAGTGCTGCGGAATTTGATGGCGCTATATAAATAATAACATAATAATAATATAAACACTTCATTAAACAGTCTTCTAATGTTTGCACTTCCTTATTGTAAATTCTGTTTAATTTTTTATCCCCTGCTCTGTTAATAGCTTGCTATACGCTACAGTGGTCTCCTTTGTGTGATTACAGTTCAGTTTACAGATCAGAAGATACACCTTTTAAAGTAAGTAGCATCTGATTTAAAATCAAACCATTTTGCTTTCATGCAGGCTGTGTTAGTCACAGCCAGGAGCGGTATGGCTAGGGCTGCATAAACAGAAACAAAGGTGATTTCATTCCTAAATGGCAGTGTAACTATAGAGGTGTGATCTATACACCAAAACTGCTTCATTAAGCTAAAGTTATTTTGGTGACTATAGTGTCCCTTTAATGTTCACATTGCCAAGAGAATTATATAATTTTACAAGTGCTAAATAAAGTATTAGTGAATGGGTGATAGATATGATAGTGTTTTGTAAAATACCTTTGATTAAGAGGTAATCTTTTCACTTTGCAAAATGTAGTAATGTTGCACCAAATATTATTTCCTAAAGGGCTACTCCAGGCACCATGATCACTTCAGTGACTTGAAATGGTCATGGTGGCTTGAGTCTGTGCAGCCTTTCACTTTAAAGTGTTGCACAAACCAAGTATGCCATGGCCAGAGGTGTGCCTCCACCTTCAGCAGCATCATTGGGGTGTTGTCAGCCAGTCCAGAGCTAGGGTTATGGGGTGACAAATGTCAATTTTGTACAAATTTTCTTGAACAGAAATTGTCAGTTGATGCTCTTAATCTGTGAATGAGTGGCAAAATTGGCATCCTGTTTCTGCAGCTTTACGGTAGCTGGATGTCTTTGATTATGCTTCATTGGAGACCCGGCAGTTCCAAGTAAGAGGGCAAACCATTGTAAAATGTGCCGCCGAGAGTTAACGATTTACCTGCTGGCTACTAGTGCTGCTAGCTGGTAAATAGTACCTCAAACTATTGTATTAACTGTATTAAACAAAAGTACATGATTGATCATTTTCGAATGTACTTCCCAACAGATGCATTCGTTCTCAGTTTTAATTTTTTAATTGGTGCTTTGTAAATATTTTGCATTGTACTTATTTTTTAAGGATTCAGATGTGAAAAGAACTGGTTTAAATCCATACACTGAATGCATTGCTGAATTTTCTCCTGATGTTCATTCAGACAAAATCTGGAGTTTATTAATGGAGACAGTCAAAAAACCTACAGGTATTCACAAAAACATAATATATTTATAAAGAGGTGGGGAAAACCATTATTAGCATAAAATATCTCTCCTGTCTGCAGAAACCATAATATGCAAATCTACCTGAATATGCTAATTAGTATCTTGCTATTCAGCTAGTGTACATACAGCTGCAACCAACAGTGGGCACTGTACATAACAGTTGCAATATATTCACAACCAACAGATGGCACTGTACAGGTTCCACAGCCAAAGATTGGCAGTACACTGCCGCAATATCAGAAGAGGCTATGATAACCATTCAGTCTCAAAACACTTTTTAATACATAATAAAGATCCGACACTTTTAAAAGGTACTGGGATAGAACAGGTTACTCTCCCATGGAGAGGCGGAGATATGACAAAAATTTTAGGTAAAAGGGAAATGTATTGGGTCTTTCAACTTAAAACTCTCTCCCCTGAAGGTCTAAATGACGAATTTGACCTTTTTAATTTTTTATAAATATTTCTCTTATAGTGATTTTTAATTGATCAGAATTTTAACTTTTCATCACATTTTCATATACTTATTTTATTTTGGTCCTTTGTATATTTCCTTTTCCCCCGTTTTCTTTTTTTTTAGCAGAGGCATTTTCCTATTATACAGTTACTATTTTTAGCATCCACAGTCTATTGCCGTTTTTAACTCTGCCCCATATTTTGGCTCCATGCCTTCAACTTGCAGAGTGAAGGCGGCGTGTAAACTCGGAGCATCACGCCGCCCAATTTGCCGACGTCAGACGGAGGCGTGCTCTTAGATGCCAACCTCCGTCTGAACACTTCATTTCCCAATGGGCACTGCGGCGCGTCACGTGATCGCGGAAGTCCGCGATCACGTGACTACCAATCCTTTCTCCTCTTCCGGGTTTAAGGACAACTACACCTCCCAACAGACATCAGGGGACACCATGTGATCGCGTTAGATCGCGATCACATGACCATTAATCCCTCTTTTATTTTTCGATTATCTTCATTAATAATATTCGTTTTACAATTTAAAACAAAGGTTTAACATGTATTCTGTTCCATTAACACTATGCACTTCCCACTTTTATGTTTTGAATGACTTCTGTATTTTACAAATTGCATTGATGACGTCACTTTGGCGCCAAAATTTGAATAATCATGTTCTAACTAAGTTTATATAAGCATCTATGTACCAGGTTGATTTTTACTATTGCCAGTTGATAAAGCCCTGTGTGGCGAAACACGTTTTGGCTATTTCTTATATATTGTATTAATAAAGGAATATTGGCTTTTTTACTATACTTTTGCCATATACCTTTTATTTTATATTTTTCTTTTTACCTGGTCATATACTATCTTGGAGTTTACACCTGCCCAAGAATCCTAGGTGGGGATAGTACCACCTACGTGATTATATTAAGCAGTATATCCTGCTCATCCAAATGTGAGTACTTTTATTCTTTCATTTTATTCTATTTTAATTTATATTCAGTGAGCACTATATTTGGCTCTTATCTCTTTTCTATACCGAGGAATTATCAACACCTATATCCCACCAGTGGGGGACAGACGCCACTGAATGCCAATTATACTAGAGCTAGTTTATGCTCTTGAATAGGTGAGTGAATTACCTCCCTATTATTTTTCCAATTCCTACTTATTAGTATACAGTCTGCACTATTGGATTGTCTCTGTTTTCCTATTTCTATGTTTATCACCGAGTCAAGACTCCCCCAACATTAGAGGATCCAGTCTCCTATTGGATATACCATTCATCAAAGTCTTCACATACCCATTGGAACTCATAAGAAGCATACCAAGTATTGGGACTATTATCTATATACTCCTTTTTATTTAAGTTTTTAGTGGATGTGAGTACATTATATTCATCTATTTCCATTTGCATTCATTTTTCTTGTAGCGCGACCTATTATTTTTGTTGTTCCACAGCCAAATCCACCTAGTTAGTAGACCACATCAGCAGAACAGGAAAGCACACAAAACATTTAACAAAACAATACATTTTACACACCCTGCACCTATAATGTGCACAGGGTTTCTAAGAGGCACCCTACATATAGTGTCCTTCTTCAGCCCCTAGTGATGTTGATTACAGTCACAGTAAATTTTTTAGCAAACTCATTAACAGGTTTTTTAGAATTAAAGTTGTACTTTTATGAGGAAGTAGAATGGCTTTACAATTGTTTTCTAACCAAATAAGTATTGTGTATTGTTGCATTAGTGCTGCTGCTGTAGTTCCATTACTACACTATCTAATTTCTCTGTTATAACATGCCCAGTGGGGGTTGATGATTCCTTGTGGTCAATTAATAATAAATCCATGGTAGGCCACTGGGGTGGATTATAAATCAGTGGTGATCTTAATAACAATTACCTGGTTGGTCATGTGGTGAAATGCATGGTCTGGAGCCAGTGGCGGATCCAGAGCCTGATCTCGGGAGGGGCACTTGTAGGTTGTTTAAAGAAATAATCCAGACACAATAACCACTACAGCTCAGTGTAGTGGTTATGGTGTCAACAGTGCCTGGATCCCCTCCCAGAGTAAGTAGTCAAACCGTTTAAGAACAGTTTGACAACTTACCTGAGGTCTGCTGGGAAATGGGGCTGTAGTAGGGCATAGGAGCTGTGGTGTGTGTGAGTGGTGCAATGTGTAAAGGATGCAGAGTGTGTGTGTGTGTGTGAGGGGGGCAGTGTATGTGTGTGTGAAGGTTGTAGTGTGTGTGTGAGGGGGACAGTGTGTTAGCAGTGTGTGTGTGAGTGAGGGCGGCAGTGTATGTCAGGGATGCAGTGTATGTGTGGGACAGTATGTGTGTGTAACAGTTGCAGTGTGTGTGTGAGTATTGCAGTGTATGTGTGTGTGGGCGATGTGTGTGTATGGGGGTAGTGTGTGTGTGTGTGTGTAGAGTGTGTGTGTATGGGGAGCAGTGTGTGTTAAGAAGGGTAGGGGGCTTTTTTTTTTATAATATATATATATATATTTTTTTTTTATTTAATTAAAATAAATATTCATTATGTCCCCCCTCCCTTCTTACCTTTACTGGGAGCAGGGGGGACATTTCTTGATCTCTGGTGGCCCGGTGGGGATTACCTGGTGGCCCGGTGGCTAGAGTTCACTCTCGCGAGATTTGGAGTGTTGCCGTGGTAACCGCGGCAACGCTCTGTGCTCGTGAGAAGAGGACCCGGAGGAGCTGCAGGCTGAGCTCCCGGGTCCTCTCTCCTTCCCTCCCCCCGCCAGCTGCCAGCACGGTGCCTGTGGATCGGGGAGGGAGATCTCTGATCTTCCTTCCAGTCCGCGAAGGCACATTGGAGGGCTGGGGCCTGAATGTGCTGGCAGGGGAGAGGGAGACCATATCAATCACTCCTTCTGGTTTGACAGTCGGTGAGGAAGTGGGAGCTCACGCTAGGAATCGTGAGGACTGTGCTGACTCCCTCACTGAATTCTAAACCGCAAGGGTAGCATTTAATAAGGTTTGCACCAGTCGGAAGTGTAGACCATGCGCCCCACCACGACCATCAAGGCATCATTTTTTTTTTTAATATGACAATTTTGATGACACACCCAGGCAGTGTGTCCTGAGGTGGCCGCCTTTGCCCCTTAATAGTAGTGCCATATTCAGAGTACCTGTTATGTAACAAATTTCTGGCTTGTGTGCCAGCAGAGAGGCCTCTGTGTGCATGTCGTTACACAAGGGCCATAGGTTCGCCATGGCTATTAGAGCTTGAAATTGCAACTGTTTGCATAGCTAAGAGTCTGCCCATATTAACCGTAGTGGAAAGCTATATGTTGTAATCTGCCCATTTAAATATTTGAATGGCTTGAGTGCACAGTTCATGTTCCCACCTCCCTTCAACTGCACTGTGCGTGAACCTGTGCCCAACATTTGCAGTTGCACTGTATAGGTGCCATCAACTTATTTATACATTTCAGGCATATGATATGATGAATGAAACACCCTCAGGAGACTTAATTTGTATCCTATTAACCCCTGCTGGACAGCTGTCCATGGGTTAAAAATCAAACCACTGTACCAGAATGAAAGGCTTCAGATTAGCTAAGATGCTTGCCTGGGGTATTGCAGTAGCTGCAGAAACTGTTTATCTTTTCATTTTAGCTATTGTTTTCTCATTTGTTTACTTTTTTGTTTTATTATTATGATTTGCATAATGCATTGAAAAGATGGGGTTCACTGCCAGCCTAGAGTTCCCCTTTTAAGGGACTCAATCATGGAAGAATTTTTGTAGCCACAAAGTCTTTCAATGTGTCCTGTGCCTGATCATACCCAACATTCTCTGTATGAATGGAAAGCAAACCATTCTGGACAGATCAGTGAATACTCCAAGTGAGGGGCAATGACTCGGTGAACTTCCTTGTGGCATGTTTGCATGTGTGGAGTATTCTCTTTTTATTTCATATGTAGCTCTACACATTTTAGTAGCCATTTGGTGATTTCCATATTTGCAGACATGTCTCTTGTATGCTAGTCTTCTTAATTGTTGACAACTTTGTTTTATGATGTGGCTGAACCAGTGTCCCTCCCAATATTGTATATCAAACCATACAATCCCCAAAGAAGAAGCAGACACTTATTTTTTTCCTTCTCTAGAGAATCTATACAGACACTGTTTTTACAGAATGCCATAACAGCCAGCCTTATTTTTCTGTTGTGTCATGTAAAACAGGTGGAATTTAATTTTTTATATTTTCAAGGCCGAATTTTATAGGCAGATATTTTTTTTTTTTTTTTTTACAGGCAGATATTTTTTTTCAGCCGAATGACTATTCACAAAAACAGTGTATCTTCATGGTTCAATGCATAGGTGAGTGTCTGTATGGATCAGTAAGTTTGTGCGAATGTGGTGGTTACTGCATGTAAGTAAGTGAAATCTCAATCTCAAATCCACTTCAAACCGGGTCTGGATTACTGAATCTGTTTAAATTCAGATGAACACCTATGTTTAATCAGAGATGTCTAGAAATCTGTCCGCTTTGCAAAAGTTAAAGGGGTGATACAGGAACCAACATATATTGGGTACAATTTTTAGGTTACGTTAGTGTTATTTCTGTTGGCTGTATAAAACATTGTATTTACAGAGATTTACTTCTCAGCTGCTAGTTGAGTAGCTTCACCTTCGTCATCATCAGCCAGTCTAGAACTAGAGTTCAAGCCACAGAGCAGACCCGGCAGGACCAAGTAATAGTGCAAACCATTGATAAAGGATTTGACCCATTACCAGGAAAGAAGACCAACTTGCTGAAGTGTTTTACCTGGAGTCTAGTTTTTATAAACTGCTACTTCAATAAAAAAACGGGCCTATTTATAACTGATACAGAATGTGATAATTTTACCTGTCACCAGTGAAATAAAATATTACTTAACTTATAGGCCACAGCCTCCTAAGGTTATCTCCCAGATGGTAACCTCGTTTAACAAATATGTATATGCAAAAACAATTTCAGGGTTCTTGCCGTTTGACCTATAAATAAACTTGATTTGAACGCCTTTGGGGTGCCACCCTCAATGGTGGTAGGAAGCTCAAATTCCTCCCTCGGACTCCTCTCCGGCCTTGTATTTTTGGTACCAAAAAAACGATTAGACAGAGAATTTGCGCTGCTGTGCTCCCTCTCCTGTATGGGCCCCGGCACTGCCTGGGATCCCCAACCACCACCGCCCGCTCAACCTCCCCCCTTGGGCGGTGAATCAATGCATCTCTGAGTAAAATTCAGCGTCTCCATGCAGAGCGTGGGGACGCTGAATGGCAGTGCTGCTTACTGTGCAGCCCTGAGCCAGGAAGCCCCTCCAGTGGCCACATAAGGACCTATGGGCGCACACGCGCATTCGGCTCCACTCGGGAGTGGACATCGGCGGGGAAGGAGCCCAGCGCTGGATTAAGGTAAGGGTCTGAAGGGGTTTTAACGAGGGAGGGGGGCTTTCCAAGATTCTATAGTGCCAGGAAAATGAGTTTGTTTTCCTGACACTAAAGAATCCCTTGAATTTGAAATTCACTTTGAATTATAACTTTAGTAAATAACACTGATAAATTCTACATCAATACATACACATTAGGGTTTATTCTCTAGATCGGAAATTTTGTTTAATAAGCAAGATAATTTTATGTACAAATAGCCCCAAATTTTTCCATCTTGGCTGTTTTAACCTAAATTTATAAGTCCTTCGTCTATTCTCAATAGTTCCTGAGTTGGTGAATATACTCTTATGTATTTTTAAACTTTTTCACTTGTAGCACTGCCTTATTATTAGAAAGTACAGCCACTGAACAAAACAGAGGTTTTTAATTCATACCGGTAAAAAAAAAAAAAAAAATCGTATTAGCCAATGTAAATTAATTCATTTTTTTTTTAAAGCTAATTAAATCAGTGAGGTTTTCTGGTAGATGAACTTATGACATAGAGACAGATTTCAGCCTGTTACAAATAATGGTTTTGAGCACATCTGTGAATACAGTTTTCTATCGCTTTCTAAAACTTGGTGCAACGTAGACAAAATAAGTTAATGTGTACAAAGGTGGTAACTGTATTAACCTGTACAATCTACAGCAAATACATTTATATTTTCTCTTTTTATTTTTTGTTTTACTCCATGGTTTTTTTCCCACAGTTTACAGCAGCTTTGTTATAAACAGGATTTGATGTGTTTCAGGCATTGTTTTCTGTACATGTAATTTTTGTATGATTGAAATTTGCAGATTGTTACATTTTTACTATATTCCATGAGTTGTCTATACAGTACTTAATGTGATTTTCACTGACACCATTGCAAATAAAAAAATAAACGCATTTTACAGAAAATATGGCAAATTGTGTTTTTTACCTAAATATATGTGACCTTACATTAAAATGCTACAGTAACATAGACTGCAGATTGTGATGCTTTCTTACAATATTAGCTGTGTCAATTACACATTGAACTAAACTGACTACTAGTGCCGTGAATATTTATTATGTGGCCACCACAATTATTTTGGCCCCCGGCAGTGATAAACCACCTGAGGATTGAGGGCTGAGAATGGGCCTTTTTTGATTCTTGCAACGGGCCTTGAGGTTTCTTGTTAACATCCTAAGGCGGATTTCCCACAATGCCTCCGAACGGTCGCCAGGAGAGGGGCGGCAGGAATAGTAGTGTGATCAAAGATCTCCCTTAAGGGCAAGTCTATTCTGCCGTGAGGGCCTGACCGTCTGCATGAGGAGAGGCATGCTGCCGGCATTGATTCCCTTCATGCTGCTCCAGGTCACCAACAAGCTAATCTGCAGCGATTACCTTGACATATTCTCCTGCAGAATCCCGCTCTGCACGACGCCGCCTCTGCCTCCATGTCCGACCTCTGGCCTCCTCCAGCACCATGTCCATTTGGCTAAATGAGCAAGAATGCCCATCTAATACAATTGCAGTGGTAATTGTATTTGTTTAGGTTCAGAATACAACTGTGAATAGGGATAAGTAGCAGTCAATTTCATTTTTGACAGACTAGTACAGGGTTGCCCAAAAGGTAGATCTCCAGATATTTTAAAACAACTCCCATGATGCTTTGCATGCCTTTAGAATGACAAAGCATCAAGGAAGCTGTAGTTTGAAAACATCTGGGCATTTAGCTTTTGGGCACCCCTGTTTCATTCCACACCCAAATCTCTATGGTCACAAGTATTGGATCAATACTGTGATCCCTGTGCATCAAAGCTTCCAGCTAATTTGATGCCTCTTGTTGGGTTATAGATATTTTTTTTCAGCCAAATTACAGTTCACAAAAACAGTGTATCTTCATGGTTCAATGCGTAGGTGAGTGTCTGTATGGATCAGTAAGTTTGTGTGAATGTGGTGGTCACGGCGTGTAAGTAAGTGAAATCTCAATCTCAAATCCACTTCAAACCGGGTATACTGAAGCAGGACTAGCAAATCTAACACATGTATAACAGAAAACAGGAAAAATCTTAAGGTACTCAGAGAATTAAAGCCACAGGCAGGTTTATTGGATCAAAAAGGCAATGCAATGTTTCAACCTACTAAGGTTTTTATCAAGCGTAAGTAAATGAATAAGTGTGTATGGGGGTCATTGAGTATACACTTACACAGGGTGACCAGAGCCACCATGTTTTCTGGGACACATATCCTATACTCATATTGATAGACAGCACATGAAAAGGGTAACCCTGTAATATGTAGAATTCAGAATAAGGTGTATAAGATTAAGCAATTAGGCAATGAAGAATACTGTGTGATGGAGATCCTGTACTCTCACAGAGTACCTCCATCCAATCTGCTTTCTAGCCATTGGGGAGGGAGCCTGGAATGCATCAGCCCCAGTCACCAAAACTTGACTGGGGTCCCTCTGGGCCTCTTGCACCCAACTAGACTCTTCTTCCAAGCAGGTATCGCCCCCCCTGTGCCTATTACTCTGCAGCTTTCCTTCCAGACAGGTATTGACAACTCTGCAGTTCTGCTTATACTGATTGCTCCTGTCTTCATAAAGACATTTGGGGCTCTCAGGCTTAGCTCTCTTGATTTGCTCCTGGGCGATAGGGATCATGTAGCCAGTCAACAGGTCCGAAGACTGTTACTGGGATCCCTAAAAATCCACACAATTCTAAAAGGAACTAATATAAAAACTTTATTTTTTCTCAGGACTAGCTCATATGCTCCTTACATGTAACTTATAGTGAGAACTCAATAAAAATAGCCTCGGCTGATGATTAGTGGGGAGAACTATAATCACTCTGGGGCTTTACGATGGGGGAAAGGGGATCCCTGGTGGCGATACTCCTCCCAAGTCATATCTTATAATAATATATATTTATATATTATGAGAATATCATTTATGCACAAAAACAACTATAATACACATGCATTAAT